TCAAATCAACCCTTCTGATTGGTTCAAATCAACCCCTCTGATTGGTTCAAATCAACCCTTCTGATTGGTTCAAATCAACACTTCTGATGTGTTCAAATCAACCCCTCTGATTGGTTCAAATCAACCCCTCTGATTGGTTCAAATCAACCCCTCTGATTTGTTCAAATCAACCCTTCTGATTGGTTCAAATCAACCCTTCTGATTGGTTCAAATCAACCCTTCTGATTGGTTCAAATCAACCCTTCTGATTGGTTCAAATCAAGATTGGTTCAAATCAACCCCTCTGACTGGTTCAAATCAACCCCTCTGATTGGTTCAAATCAACTCCTCTGATTGGTTCAAATCAACCATTCTGATTGGTTCAAATCAACCATTCTGATTGGTTCAAATCAATCATTCTGATGTGTTCAAAACAACCCTTCTAATGTGTTCAAATAAACCCCTCTGACTGGTTCAAATCAACCCCTCTGATTGGTTCAAATCAACCCTTCTGATTGGTTAAAATCAACCCTTTTGACTGGTTAAAATCAAACCCTCGGATTGGCTGTAATCAACCCTTCTGGTTGGTTAAAATCAACCCTTTTGACTGGTTAAAATTAAACCCTCGGATTGGCTGTAATCAACACTTCGGATTGGTTGAAAACAAACCTTTTGATTGGTTAAAAACAAACTTTCTTTTGGTTAAAATCAACTCTTCTGATTGGTTAAACCAACGCTTCGTGTTGATAAAAACCAGGGGTTAGTTCTGTCATTAGTTCATATCCTCATGAGTCAGCAGAAATCAAACATGCACAGTGGTGTTAGGCAGATTAATGAGGCCTGAGAGTATCCTCAGGATGACTCAGCACATACAAACAATCAGCCAATCAGAAGCTATGACTTCACGTCCCACTCTTACCTGATCTGGGCGGCTCGAAGCCTGAAACGTGAACCAACGGTTAGTTTCTACTCAGAACCGCCTCACTCATAAACCAGACCATGAAATGTTTGAATGATGAAAAGCAGGAGAAGGAAAGAGTTTCAGACTCAGTCCAACGTGATACGGACCTTGTTCTGCAGAGCTGACCATCGTCTGGTACTGCTGGTTGGCTCGGTTGTAGTTGGACTCCACCTGCATCCGGTCCTCGGCCCCGAACGTCTGAGAGTCCTGACTGTCCCTCAGGAAGTCTTGGTAGTGCTGCTCCAGGTTCCTGAGGGCCAGCCGGTACTCGTCCACCCTCAGAGTCTTAAACTGAAGGAAAAGCTCAGATCAGAACCAACTGTACCAAATCCATCATGTGGATCGTCTGTGGGGGGTTTGTCTCGTTACCATGGTGACATTCCAGGAGTTGATGATGTGGACGTCTCTCATCAGGTACTGCCAGGACAGGAGGCTCTTCAGGTCCACAAACATGTTCTGCCACATGTTCTGCAGCCGCTGCAGGTACCCGTCCAGCCTGAGGACGAGAGCTGGAGGTCAGACCAGGTCCAGATGTGTGAACCCAAACAGATGTTTGAGTCAGACCAGGTCCAGATGTGTGGGCCCAAACAGATGTTTGAGTCAGACCAGGTCCAGATGTGTGGACCCAAATTAAATATTAAATATTTTATTGCTCCGTAGTGAACCTCTCAACACATCTCAGCTGTCTCTCACCCGGCGACGCTGTTCACTGCGTCCTTATTTGTGGGCGGAACCAGGAAGCAGATGGACGGAACCAACGCCTCGTTGCCTTTATCGTTCAGAACCCTCCACTTAAAAGGCTGCGAGTTGTTGAGCAGAGCACACTCGTCCCCTCTGTGGACTGTGATCTGCAGGAGGGTCCAGCAGAATACAGAYATGAAGAACAGAACATCCTGCCTCAGGGTTAACCCCATTAGACCCGTTAGAACTCTGCAGGACCGGTTCTACCTCCATCTGTTTGAAGTCACACACGGCCTGGATGGGCTGTTTGCCTTTGATGGGACTCGCAGGGTTTCGTGGTTTCAGCTGGATGATGGTTTTAGCTCTTCGCTTCAGACCCTCCAGGTGAGTTTTAAACTCAGCCAGCTGCTCTTTCTCCTCCTGAACAGAGTCCAGCAGTGACACACAGGTTAGAGGTGAAAACATCTGTTTAAATATGATTTATTAATGAGTGCAATTATTACTATTATTATTATAATGAAGTGATTAAAGACGTTTTTGAAGGAGACGAGGGACATGTTTAACGTGTTCATTGTGTTTAACATGTTTAATGTGATTTATGTGTTTAATATGTTTAACGTGTTTAAAACATGTTTAGCATGTTTAACTTGTTAAAATGTTTAATGTGTTAAACATAGTTAACTTGTTTAACATGTTAAACACGTTAAACATGCTTAAAATGTTTAATGTGTTTAACGTGTTTAATATGTTTAACGTGTTTAAAACATGTTTAGCATGTTTAACTTGTTTAAAATGTTTAATGTGTTAAACACGTTAAACATGCTTAACATGTTAAATGTGTTTAATGTTTTTAACATGTTTAATATGTTTACCATGTTTAATGTACTTAACATGTTTAACATATTTAACGTGTTTAATGTATTTAACATGTTTAATGTGATTTATGTGATTAACTTGTTTATAGGCCTGTCACGATAACAAATTTTGCTGGACGATTAATTGTCTCAAAATTTATTGCGATAAACGATAATATTGCCTGGTGACCGTTTTACAACTAATAATTATAAAAGCGTAATGTGTAAGTGTAAT